TAATAATGTAAATATTTAATTCACTGTTGCCCAGTTCAATAAATAATGTAACAGTCATTTATTTTTAACCTCAAATGTTAAAAAATTATGCTCATTGATTTTTTAACTCACTCTTTGCTTGTTTTTCAAAATAAATTACGTGTCAGAGATGCTAAGATAGATATATAAGTACACACACACACACACACATACATACAGATAGATAGATATAGATATATACATTTTCCCATCAGCTATTCACAGTAAGTGACAGTTAAGAAACTAAGAATAATCAAGGCTGGGCCTGAGCTGTTCATATTAATGCCAGGAATTCGGGGATGAGTTTTACTTCTCTTCTCAGTGACTTTCTCCTATGGGTGAACCACAGACTTATCCTGGCCGCTCAGAATGTTTGTTATGTGTCCCTAGCATTTTTATGACCTTGGATGTGGACAAGCCATATATCCTCTCAGGGACTCAGTTGCTCAATTTGTAAACTTCTAATCATCTCTGATGTTTCTTCCAGCCATAAAGAACCACGTAAAGAATTAGAATCCTCAGTCCCTGATTTATATTAATTCCTGGAATCTCACTGTATTCCATAGGTCTTTCTTGCTCCTAATGGTGGGGACAAAGTGATTTCAGAGGAGAAGAAATAAGATGTGGGCAGCCTACGCACACTAATAACAAAAGAATTGGACTCACACACAAAGGAAATGAGATTCCCGAGCAATGCCCCCATTTATGAAAGGGCAGAAGGAAAAGAGAGAGACTTTTCATATGACTCGAGGTTTAAACACTCGAGAACATTACCCAGGCATCGGATATCTCAGGAACCAAGGGAGCTGGCGTCCCACTAAGTTAAAACACATATGGAAAATGTTAAACAGGGAGGCGAGGCAGTGAGAGTCTACATGAGTTCAAGAGACACCTCGATTTGTTTCTGGGAAAGGAGGAAATTGTCGTACACGGCAAACAAGTCGAAAGGTTGAATTAAGCTAAATCCCAATAGAGGAAAGAGTGGATGGGCCAGAGTTTTTTTTTTTTTTTTTTTCTTTCTGTGTGTGTGTGTGTGTGTGTGTGTGTTGGAGTGTTGGAGGAGGGGGAGTATTGTTCTCATTCCTTTCCTTCATAGTCTTCTCATAGTAAAACTTCTCTGCTTAAGATATTTAACCAACACACCAAAGAAGTGGGACAAATTGGTCGATTGGGATTGACATATATANTGTGTGTGTGTGTGTGTGTGTGTGTGTTGGAGGAGGGGGAGTATTGTTCTCATTCCTTTCCTTCATAGTCTTCTCATAGTAAAACTTCTCTGCTTAAGATATTTAACCAACACACCAAAGAAGTGGGACAAATTGGTCGATTGGGATTGACATATACACACTGCCAAGTGTAAAATAGATAGCTAGTGGGAAGTTGCTGTGTAACACAGGAAGCTCAGGTGGGACCCCACGATGGCCTGGTTGGGGGGAAGGCAGGGGGAGAAAGGTTCAAGAGGGTGCAGATGCATGTATGTGTACAGCCGATTTACTACACTGTGCAGCAGAAACTAACACAACACTGCAAAGCAACTATACTCCAATAAGAAATTAGAATAAAGTGCTCTGAGTTCTAATCCTAACCACCAACTTCTGCGACCTTCAGCAAATTTCTTAACCCAACATGGACCTCAATTTCCCCTAATGGCATCTGGTGGTGAATTTGCTTAAGTAGACTTCCTTGGGTGGAGAACAGGAAGACAGGATTCAAGACCCAAGGTATTCACTGGAGGAGACCTGAGTTATCCAAAATTTCCATCTGCACATCCCAAAGTCTTCCTGAAATTGACTCAGTCCCTTGACGAGAAAGATGCTAGTGGAGCAGCTCTTACCCCCCACCGTCCACGGGTACAGATGGCTCCAGATTTTGGATAAAGACAAAGTTGTAGGAGTCTTTAGGATGTGTAACTAAATCTTTTTTTTTTTTTCATTAGAAGGTACAGAGTACATTTTATCACAGCATTGTCCATTATAGCCAAAGAAATGGAAACAATCTCATTGCAAACCAAAAGGAATCCTGAACATGTATAAAGGAGAACAACTAACAGCCAATAAAATCCAAGTTTTCATAGATTTGGTCTCATGGGAAAATTCCTACATACACAAGTGTAGCAAGCATGATTAGAACTGTACATACATGTAGAGTCTAAATTTATCTTATGTATTATGCTCATGCATGCAAATATTAGGCACAGATTCTGGGACTGGTAAACTACCCTGGAGGCAATAGGCAATATCCAGCTCATGGTCTCCCCTCCTTTTTTTTTTCAGCCTGTGAGCTAAGAATGTTGGGTTTCTTTTTTAAGATTTTTAAGTGATTGAAAAAAAGTCAAGAGAAAAGTAATATTTCAGAACACATGAAAAGTTGTAAAATGCAAATGTCAGTGTTCAAAGATCGTGTTACCAATGGCCTTCATACTATTATGGCACCACTGAGATCATGGCATCTGGTCCCATCGCTTCATGGGAAATAGATGGGGAAACAGTGGAAATAGTGTCAGACTTTATTTTTTGGGGCTCCAAAATCACTGCAGATGGTGATTGCAGCCATGAAATAATCACTTTGCCAACAAAGGTCCATCTAGTCAGAGCTATGATTTTTCCAGTAGTCATGTACAGATGTGAGAGTTAGACCATAAAGAAGGTTTTTGAATTGTGGTGCTGGAGGAGACTCTTGAGAGTCCCTTTGACTGAAAGATCAAACCAGTCAACCCTAAAAGAAATCAAACTTGAATATTCATTGGAAGGATTGAGGCCAAAGCTGAATTTCCAATACTTTGGCCACCTGATGTGAACAGCCTACTCTTTGGAAAAGAACCTGATGCTAGGAAATATTGAGGGTGGGAAGAGAAGGGGGTGATAGAGGATGAGATGGTTGGATAGCATCACTAACTCAATGGACATGAATCTGAGCAAATTCCAGGAGATAGTGAAGGACAGGGAAGCCTGGCATGCTGCAGTTCATGGGGTCGCAAAGAGTCAGACACGACTGAGTGACTGAACTGAACTGAGCAATGCAACAGAGTGGAAGGTTGTAAAGCAGAAAGCATTGCTATCTGGCCCTTTACAGAAAGTGTTTGCTGACCAATGCACTTAAGGACAGTGAGAAAAGATACATACCTAAGAGATCATCATGGGATGGCTGGATGGTATAGGCTTTTCATTTTAGTCTTAAAAGTTTCTCACAATTTCTACTTTTTCCAAACAATGTCTATTTGATGACTTTGATACTAAATAAAACATATCCATTTATTTAAAATCTTGCAAACAGTGAAGACCTGAATAGACATTTCTCCAAGGAAGACAGAGAGATGACCAAGAAACATATGAAAAAATGCTCAACATCACTAACTATTAAAGAAAGGCAAATCAAAACTACATTGAGGTATCACCTCACACCAGTCAAAATGGTCATCATTATAAAATATGCAAACAATAAAAGCTGAATAGGGTGTGGAGAAAAGGAAACCAACCCTCTTACACTGTTGGTGGAGAATGTAAATTTGTTGTTCACTCAGTAAGGAGGTTCCTCATAAAATGAAATATAGAGCTACCACATGATCCTGCAATCCCACTCCTGGGCATATATCTGGACAAAGTATAATTTTAAAAGATGCCTGCCCCTCAATGTTCATAGCAACACTATTCACAATAGGCAAGACAAGGAAATAACCTAAAAGTCCATCAACAGAGGAATGGATAAAAAAGATGTGGTGCATATATACAATCACTGTGGATGGAGACTGCGGCCATAAAATTAAAAGATGCTTGGTCCTTGGAAGGAAAGCTATGGCAAACCCAGACAGCATATTAAAAAGCAGAGATATCACTTTGCCAACAAAGGTCCATCTAGTCAGAGCTATGATTTTTCCAGTAGTCATGTACAGATGTGAGAGTTAGACCATAAAGAAGGTTTTTGAATTGTGGTGCTGGAGGAGACTCTTGAGAGTCCCTTTGACTGAAAGATCAAACCAGTCAACCCTAAAAGAAATCAAACTTGAATATTCATTGGAAGGATTGAGGCCAAAGCTGAATTTCCAATACTTTGGCCACCTGATGTGAACAGCCTACTCTTTGGAAAAGAACCTGATGCTAGGAAATATTGAGGGTGGGAAGAGAAGGGGGTGATAGAGGATGAGATGGTTGGATAGCATCACTAACTCAATGGACATGAATCTGAGCAAATTCCAGGAGATAGTGAAGGACAGGGAAGCCTGGCATGCTGCAGTTCATGGGGTCGCAAAGAGTCAGACACAACTTAATGATGAAATACCAACAACATATATACAGTGGAATATCACTCAGCCATAACAAAGAGGGAAATTCCAGTTGCAGCAACATGGATGGGAAAAGAAGAGCATGGAGGCTGCATGTTAGACAAGACCCTTCTCTCCCTGGAGAAGGAAATGGCAACCTACTCCAGTATTCTTGCCCGGAGAATGCCATGGACAGATGACCCTGGCAGGCTACAGTCCATGAAGTCACAAAGAGTCAGACACAACTGGGAAACTAACACACACCACCCCCCACCCCCCAGACAGCAGGATGGACTGCATTCTGCATAAGTGGAGGACAAGTTAAAGATCCTTCTGGCTGCCCTTGCCAGGGTGTCCAAGAAGGTCATGCTTCCATTTGTCACAGCTGTGTGTGCTGTTCTGTCATTTGCCTTTTAAAAATTTAACCATCAGATCACTTTTCCATGTAAGAGGGGGAAAATCCCAGCCAGAAACTGCAAACCAGGAGCTGCTGACCAGATGTGCCCGTCTTACAGTGCATGAGCTGCTGGCTTATAACAGTTAACACAGGATCCCCTAGAAAAGCCTGTAGTTAATAATATCCCCGTCTCCACTCCCCAGGGACCTTTGGCTTCCTCCACTCCTGTCTTCAACACCCACAAGGTATGCTAAGCACAGAGAACCCGGAAAACAGAATGGGCAAATCCCCACAGGGACGCATGCCCATTTGGCATTGATGCTGAGGTCAGAGGAAGTCGACGTGCAGAGAGCAGCAGCAGCAGGAGCAGTTTGGGACAGAGGAGATAGCACATTGCCAAAAAGGGGCTCAGGACTCTATGGAGAGATGGAGACCAAGGAGAAACATTCTTCAGGGAGGCGGCATCCGGTGGAGTTGACGTGCTCAAGACGAAGCATCAGACACACCTGGAGCTATTCCCAGCCCGGCCATTTACAAGTCCTGAGACCTGGGTAAGTCCCTTATTCTCTCAAAACCTCAGTTTCCTCATTTAAAATAATAATGTTAATTGCCAATTCTTGGGCTGTTACAAGAATCAAATCAGAGAATGCAAGGAAAGAGCTTGGCATGAACTTTGGAACCTACTGAGCACTCAATAAATAATAGCCCTGTTATGACTGTCATTCAGATTTTTGTCATTACTATTATTATTACTATTGTAGCATTAGGCTTATTGGTTTGGAGGTAGTTTCAGTATTTAAGGTTCCTGTGATTCCAGCAACTGGATGAAAGAAATACTGGAAGTTTCTGAAATTGGAGGAGGACAGTGGTGGACTAAGTGTGGGCTTTCAGATCATAAACCCTGGTGATCAGAGCCCCAGTTCTGTCCAAAGCTAGTTAGTCTCAGCTTTCTGAATCTCAGTCACCTGCAAAATGGTGATCATGGCATTGTCTTCATTGTAGAGGTTGCAAAACAAACAAGAAAATTAAAACATCTAGGAACTTCCCTGGTGGTCCAGTAGTTAGGACTCTGTGCTTTCCCTGCAGGGGGCATTGATTCAATCCCCGATCGGGGAACTAAGATCCCACATGCTGCCAAAAGACAAAAGAAAAGATAAAACAATTTCTATACATTAGTTACTTTCTCGTGACTCTGAGTGATGTGGTCTATTAAAAAGGGGAGTGAGACAGCTGTATTGCCTGTTGCCCCACCAGCCCCCAGAACTTACCACTTCTCTTATCCAATTCCACCCTCACCACCACCCCCATGCCCAGCTGCCAAGGTCTCTAGGATCTAAAACCATCTTTCACATTCCATCCTGTCTCGTCTCTGAAAGGCCTCCATTGTACTAGAAGGGACTTAAGCTGAGTAGGTTTCTTTACAAAAGTTGCCTGGCCCTGTGAGCTGCCTGCCAGCAGCAAGGGAAGGTGTCAAGGTGCAAATGGGAACCAGATTTCTTTCCTTTAGAAGCTTCCCAAGGTTGCAGACTACTGGGTTGGTCTGCCTTTATATCCTGAATAATTGGGCCACACTTTGACCAACAAAACAATATTCTTAAAGATTATAATGAGAACATGGACAGAAAATAACTTGACTGGCTGTTGGGATTAGATGGTGTGTTTCTCTCCTGGAAGACAGCATCGCTGAGTACTCTTTGAGGTACAAGGGAAAGACTGTTAAGGTGGCTTATATGGGAGATTACTCTTCTCATGTGGCAAGAAGCCTGACCAAGGATGTTCTAGGATTGTTATAGTAGCCAATGATGGTAGGGATCAGGGGCAAAATCCATGACACTCTTGTTCATCCCCTCATGGTCACAAAATGGCTGCAGCCACTGTTGACATCAAGCCCTCACAAGATGATCCCAATGTAGAGAGTAAAGGGGCTGATAAAAAAAATGACCCTCTCCTGGCAAATCTCTCTCTCTCTTTTTTTTTCTTTAGGAAAGAATTTTCCTAGAGGCCTTTGTCAGAGCACCCCCTTACATCTTATTGGCTAAATTTGAGTCACTTGTCCACTCTAGATAATCATGGACCCAGGGAAACTCAGTTGTATTAACACAACTGATATGGACACAACTCAGTTGTATTAACTGGGGCTTGCTCATTGTCACCCTGATAAAACTGGGATTTTGTTAGCAAAAAAAAAAAAGAAAAAAGATAGTGAGTAGGTCAACTATCTTGTAGAGCTTATCTTTGAGGACAAGTTGTGATCATTGTCTTTGTTGTTCCTGCCTCATCTGGCACAAAGTCAGGGCTCCATAAATCTTTGTTAGAAGAATGAATAAACATATCCAACCTGACATTTACCATGATACCTAGTAGGTGCTCAGTAAATATTTATTGAACAAATGAATTTGTCCCAATGCCGAATAGCACTGGGGGTGTATTAAGTTGCCAATTCAACTTTAATATCCAGTTATCAGATTCCTTATTAAAAAAACTGAAGGACCTCAAGGGCAGGGAGGGCTTCCCAGGAGGCTTAGTAGTAGAGAATCCACCTGCCAATGCAGGAGACACAGATGACTCGGGTTCGATCCTTCAGTTGGGAAGACCCCGTGAAGGAGGAAATGGCAACCCACTCCTGTGTTCTTCCCTGGCAAATTCCCATGGACGGAGGAGCCTGGCAAGCTACAGTCCACGTGCTTGCAAAGAATCAGACATGATTCAGCAACTAAAGAACAACAACAAAGGGCAGAAAACATGCTATTTATCCAAACACTATCCAAACAGCCAGATATGCTGTTCTAGACCATCCACCGGCAAACTTCCTATGAAGGGCCAGATAGTAAATATTCTAGGCTTTGTGGGCCATATGGTCTCTGCGAAGGCCATTCCACTCCACTGCTGAAGCGTGGAAACAGTAATAAGCAATGCATCCATGAAAGGTTCTGGTTGTGTGTAAATAAAATATTATTTGTAAAAAGAAGCAACAAGCCGGATCTGGCCTGAGGGCGGGAGCTGCCCACCTCCTGCTCTTGACCACAAAAGCAGGATCCCAACCTGGATCAGAGCCATCAAGCTCTGGGGTGGCAGCATAGGCCAAGGATGTTTTGGCTGCTGTGTTAGATTCTCTGAGAAGTAGATTCCAAAACAGGTTTTGATGTGCAAATGATTAATGTAGGGGAAGTGCCTATGAAAGACTTCCCTGGTGGCCCAGTGGTAAAGAATCCACCTGCCAGTACAGGAGATGCAGGTTTGATCCCTCGGGTGAGAAGATCCCCCGAAAAAGGGAATAGCAACCCACTCCAGTACTCTTGCCTGGGAAATCCCATGGACAAAGGAGCCTGGCAGGCTACAGTCTGTGGGATCACAAAGAGTCCAACACGACTTAGCAACTAAGCATCAACAACAATGCCTATGAAGGATTAAGGGGAGGAGGCAGGAGAGAGAGGGCAGAGCCTTCATACCTGGATGCAACTCTGAGATGTCTGAAGGAGGGTGTGGGGAGGGAGAAGGGCTGAGAAGGAAGAAACTTACATCACAGTGCGGGTCAGAGGAAGTCTCAACCAGGCTAATAGGGAGGCATCAGGTCAACATCACCTGTTGGAGGAATCCTGTAGCCTGCAGATGTGGGCCTGAGGGACTGAACCCATTAGGTACGGTTACTGTCCGGAAGCAGCCTCGGAGAACACATCCTTACCATCAGTGCAGTAAAAGATCCAGGAAGGCGGCCAGTGAGGCTTTCAGTCAACCATGCTCCCCAGAGCAGAGATCTCATTTCCATCCCAAACTTTCCAAAGGCTACTGCTCAGGGGACTCATCAGGAATTATACCCACAGACAGCAGTGTGTGTGTGTGTGTGTGTGTGTGTGAGTCACTCAGTTGTGTCTGACTCTGTGGCCCCATGGACTGGAGCCCGAGAGGCTCCTCTGTCCACGGGAATTCTCCAGGCAAGAATACTGGAGTGGGTTGCCATTCCCTTCTGCAGGGGATCTTCCTGACCCAGGCATCAAACCCAGGTCTCCTGCATTGCAGATTCTTTACTATCTGAGCCACCAGGGAAAGAGGACGCATGGCAAATACTGGCTGGTATCTTCCTTTTCCGCTTGGGACCAGGGGATCAAATGCTTAAAGTCTTAGGTATACTTCTTGACACTTAGAAAGTGTTCCATATGTGGTTGCTGTTACTATTACAGCTGTTTTAAGAACACAGTTTGGAGGTGTCATATTATGGATGAAATCCATCTTCATTCTACAAGACGCTGGAAGAGCGAGAGTCCAGTGCTTTCCCTGGAAGGCTTGATGTCCTTAATATTCAGATGGAGCCTTGTTTCCCAGACTGTGTTCTGTGGAACCCTGGTCCTCGGGAGGATAAGGCAATAGACAGGATGCTAAGCCAAAATGTTCGGTGCTCAGCTAAGTTTGAGAAATACTTCTTTAACTAAATTCAAAAAGTTCCCTTCCTGCAAATCTCCTCAGGATTTTGGTCCCAGATTCTGAGAACTGCCCAAACCCTGACTTACCATGGAGCTCTTTTCATCATTAGGCCCAAAAGAGTGGGCAATCCAGAGTGAAAATTGCAGGCCCACTGTGAGTCTGTGGATATAAGCCTGGTTCTCTCATCTTTAATGAATTTCTCACACTCTTGAGGAATATCCAGATAATAAGAATGACTGTGGATGCTTGAGAGTCTTCTACAGAAGCAGCATCGCATCATGCTTTAGAGCATGGGTTGGGGGACCAGGCCTACCTGCCTCAGTTTCCTCATCTGTAAAATGGGGATAACAATCGTTGCTGCTTCCTAAGGTGACTGTAAACCTCAAAGGGGTGGTTACTGCATAAAGACATTGAACACAGGCATTTAGAAAGTAGCACTGGAGTGTTACGTGTGGCTGCATACTAGGCATTTTATAAACGTCACCTGTATTCCCCCAGGAGCTCTTATAAATGGGCTCAAAACGCTAAACAAAACCAAATTTAACGTGTGTGACTTTGAAAGGGTTTCAGTGAAATCTGGTACCCAAGTTGCGGCAAGATGATTTCCTGGCGGAATGATTACAGGTCACAAAACCACCAGAGTACGTGTTTGCGGCGGGTCTCCAGGTGGCGGTTTGACAATTCTCTCCCCCGGGCCAGATGCATTGGAAATTCTGCAGGGAAACATGGAGAGGCCAGACCCAAGCCACACTTGGTGACATTCCCCAGAATCTTTTCCAAGTGTCAAAGGATATTGGAACCATGCTGGGGAGTACCGCATTGTTTTAAACATTGTGAAAATTGGCCACTTTGGAGACAATTTAGTTCTACTCTGCGTATTAAATCATTTCTCTATTTCATGAGTTTTATAGAAAAATAATAATAAACTATTTCTCCCCAAGGCCCTAGGAGAAATTGTGTTGCAGTATTAGGTTATGATCTCTTATACAATTTAATAGATATTCAAGACTGTTTTGTTTTAATACACAAATATAGAGACTTAGTGAAAGGTGTGATGGGAAATACATGTTCTTGGATCATCGAGGATTTAGCATTGGGGTCCCTTCCAACTAACTCCATAAGCAAAATTATATTTCAATTATAGGCTTCGTTGGGGGATCACTGTGCCAGGTGAGTAAATTGCTCTGTGGGCATGAGCTGGCTATATAGGGAAGTTCATTGCTTGTGGCAGGGGGTATTTTAGTGAATTATAGTCCCAGGAACCTGACAGTTAGGGAAAGGCCTTTTTTATAATCAACTCTTGCTTTACTCTTTTTTTTAAAAAATTTTGTCTTTTTCCTTTATGTGTTTATTTGACTTCTTCAGGGCTTTGTTGTGGCATGCTGACCTAGCACCCTGTGTCATGTGGGATCTTAGTTCCTGGACCAGGGATCGAAACTGCATCCCCTGCAATGGAAGGTGGATTCTTAATCACTGGACCACCAGGGAAGTCCCTTGCTTGACTCTTGTAATTGAAGGAGCAACAGCAATGGGAATCCCACAGAACCCTGAGTGATCCCAAAGTTGATTCTAATGGAATCAGCAAAGTAAGTTTTATAAAAAGATTTTTGCTTCTACACTGAATTGGCCACATAAAATGGAACGGGAAAATGAGATAAGACAGAGCAATGGCATGGAGGCAACATTGGGGGTATCTACTATGTGCCAGGTGTCAAGGACTAAAAACACAGCAGTAGGGACTCTCCCGGAAGCCCAGGAGTAGTTAAGGCTTCACCTCCCAATGCAGGGGCCATGGGTTCAATCCCTGGTCGGGGAACTAAGGTCCCATATGCTGTGGGGTGCAGCCAAAAATTATAAATAAATACAGGAATGAATAAATAAATGCAGCTGTACCATCTTAAAAAAAAAAGAAGACACAGTAGTAGACAAAACCTAGTGTCTGCCTTAATAGAAGCTCACAGGTGAAATGTAGGCATGACCTTCAACAGATCTGACATCTATGGTTGATAGACTTCTGAGACGGCCCCCCCGAGCCCCACTTCCTGGTATCCACAACCTTGTGCAGTCCTCTCCCTTTGAGTAAAATATTTCTAACAGAACAGAGCATCACCGGATCCTAAAATAGTGTGAACTTCTGAATATTTATACACACTCGGGATTCAGAGAGAAGGATGCTGGTTCTGAGATGTAAAACTGCAGATAAATAATTGTAGGTGAAATAGCTCTCATGAAGAAACAACTTTTCTCAAAGATTCTCACTTCTTAAACTCACATGCTTCATTCACATACACACAGGATCTTGGCTCCAAGGACCCAGCAAGAGAAGGAGTTCATTACAGTTCCTCTCTCTCAAATCCCTTTACTGCCTGATGTGAAATCTTACTTGATCCCGAGTATGTCACATTTTAGTGAAATCAAACTCAGCCATGACTTGGCCAATTTAAAAACTCTTTCTCTCCTCAAAGCCTGCGTCTCCTTCCAAGAGAAGTTGATCTGGACACGGACTGCCTGCCTTTAAACCCCCTCGCAACGTGTGACTTGCTTCCAGGCACCAGTACCAATAACTTAGTACCCAGGGCATCTGAGAGACACCAGTCATCCCAGCACAATGACTTCCAATTTAATCAACTGGTGGGAGATGAAGGGAAAAGTCAGAAGGAAAAGGAGGAAGGATTTGACCTGGGGAAGAGGAGGGCAGAGCCAGAATTTGGATCAAGAGAAAAAGCAGAGCTAGATGGAAAGAAACTTTCCTCGCTGGCCTCAAAACATCCTTACTGGTGTGGCTTTAGTGTGTGGACAACTAGAAGAATACTTAACACACTATTCTGGAGGCTTCCTAGAGCACAGGAGACAGTGAGAATGTATAGTCAAGTGACTGCGAGCATGAGTCCTGAGCTGGAGAAACTGGGATACAATTCTGGACGACTACCTACTGGCTATGGAATCTTGGAAGTGTTCTCTGAACTTTGGAAACCTGAGTTTCCTTATTTGTAGAATTTGTAAAACTCCCCCCACCCTGGAGAGGTTGTGTGGATCAAAGGAGGTGGTGTGTTTAAACAGCACAAGGTGGGTGTTGAGTTGGTGTTGTTAGTTGTCTTGGGGGAGGGAGAGAAGTGAAAGTGAAAGGATCAAACAGATCCTTCACTTTCGCCCCACAATTTCTGAACTTGGTTTGGAAAGTACCGTATCCACTGGTGGGGCCCCTTTGGAAGTCCTGAGATGCTCTGGGCTGGACTGAAGGTGTCTGAAGCACTTGTGACCACACTTGGAAAGGCAACACGGTGTAAGCAGCACGGAGAGCTGCAGAGTAGAAAGTGTTTCGCTCCCTCTGGCCTCTCCCGGGCTGGAGTTCAGAGAGACACAGTTGCTTTCCTTACCCAAGGCCAGGGAAATCAGAAGGCTCAGGGAGGACCTTAAGGCAAAAACTGTGCAGAAAAATCCAGGTCAAAACAGGGAAGGTCCCATTGGGGTTGGAACTCAGGTTCAAATTCAGGGATTGAAACCAAGAGGAAGTAGAGGTTAAGAGAGACTGAGGAAGAAGGGGAGCAGGCTGATCACATAAGCAGGGACCCAGGTTCTTTCTGTCTTTCTGCTCTGCCTTTCTCCCAGGCTTGGCTTGTCCTCTTAGGCTGCCCAACATGGCTCAGAAAGGATGCTCAGATCCAGACATCACGGAGAATAATTTCCGGACGTAGAAAACATGCATCTGTTTCTTGTATCTCTTTGCAAGGGTGATATTAAAGACATTTCAGGAACTGCTTAGCAGATTTCCTCTAATTTTTATTGGCCACAAGCATGTCACATGACCTCATGTAAATCTATCAGTGGAAAAGCAGGAAGGAGCAACCATGATTGACATAAACCAGACATGATTCAAGGACCCAGTTTCTCCTGGGATAGGAGCTGGGGAACCATATAATTTCTTGCAGTGTGCATGGCTGACCAAGTGATTCATGAAAAACATTAAAGCTCTACTTCTAAGCCAGAATGGACAACGTGGCTGTTGGGTAGACAACCAAGAGCATCTTATAACTCCACCCTCTGGGTCGCCTCCCGCCTTGAATTTTGTCTTCTAACATTTATGAAGGCTTGGGTTCCAGGCACCAAAGCTAAGCATTCCAAGACATCACCTTGCTTAGTCTTCACATCAGCATTACAAGGTAGGTACCATTTTTATCCTCATTTACTGATGAGAAAATTGTGGCCCAAAACAGTGAAGTGATCTTCCTAAGTTGTGCTTAGTCACTCAGTCGTGTCTGACTCTTTGTGACCCCATGGACTGTAGCCCGCCAGGCCCCTCGGTCCATGGAATTCTCCAGGCAAGAATACTGGAGTGTGTTGCCATGCCCTCCTCCAGGGGATCTTCCCAACCCAGGGATCAAACCCAGGTCTTCCACATTGCAGGTGGATTCTTTACCATCTGAGCCACCAGGAAAGCCTGTAATAACCTTAATTTTACTAAATCTTCCTAAGATCACACAGTTATACAGTAGTAGACTCAGGGCTCTTAAAACTGACAGATGCTATGGTCATGCTGCCCAATACAGCAGCCACTAGCCACATGTGACTTTTTAATTCTGAAGCACTTTGAATTAAAAATCCAGTCCCTGGAACTTCCCTGGTGGTCCAGTTGCTAAGACTCCAAGTGCCCAATGCAGGGCACCTGGGTTTGATCCCTGGTTAAGGGGACAAGCTCCCACATGTCACAGCTGAGAGTTGCATGCCACAACTAAAGATCCCATGTATTACAGCTAAAACCCAGAGCAGGGCTTCTCTGGTGGCTCAGGGGTGAGGAATCCGTCTGCCAATGCAGGAGACACGGGCTCAATCCCTGATTTGGGAAGATCCCACATGCCATGGAGCAACTAAGCTCATGCACCACAACTCATGAGTCTGTGCTCTAGAGCCTGGGAACTGCAATTACTGAAGCCCATGTGCCCTAGGGCCCCTGCTCCACAACAAGAGAAAACATTGCAATGAGAAGCCCACGCACCACAACTAGAGAACATTCCACTCAGTAATGATGATCCAGCACAGCCAAAAATTACAAAACAAACAAACCAAAAGACCTGGTGCAGCCAGATAAATAAATATTTTTTTTTTAATTTAAATAAAAAGCCAGTCTCTCAGTTGCACTATCCACAGACCAAGTTCTCACCCAGTAGTGACATGCGGGCTGGTGGCTGCCATAATATGGTAGTCATAAAACCTTTTCTTCATTACAGAAACTTCTGTTGGACAGCATTGTTCCAGAACCCAAGATCTTAACCCCTTCACCAAAACGGTTCCATGAGACTCACGCTGTCAACTGACAGTCTCTGTGGAGGTTTCCCAGGAAACAACATTCAAGACAGGAAGATTCCTATCTCTTCCCACCACCACCCACCTTCAAGGAAAAAAAAAAAACTCTACCACCATGTAAGATTTTTAACTGTTTTCTGAGAAACTTCTAAACCACCAACTTAATGGCGGAAGGGAGGGAGACACGGAAAGGCAGTCCTCATACCCTGGGAGTGTTTCAGCGGAGGAAGAACTAGACAAAGCAACAACTCAGTAGTACTCTTTGAACTTGGAGGCTCTTAGAATTACACTGTGGTTACCTGGTTCCTCCACACCCGGATCTAGCAAAACCCCTGCCAGCTCCACGTTCCCAAGTTCATCCCAGCTCTCACCCAAACTGCCAATCCACAGCAAACGTGTTTCCCAATTCACCACAAGAAATCATTGGGTCAATGCCGGGTGACCATGCGGTGTGAGGCAAGGCCCCGGATGGAAAACCCCAATACTCACATTGTTCCACCCTCGCAAAAATTCCTCAAGGGCCATGGCTCATGAGTCAGTTTGTGGCCTGGTTTTCCTTTGATTTTGAAACACTGATGAATTAGGGGACGAGGCACAGCTCTTTCTCCAAAGGTGTTGTAACAGCTGTGGAGATACCTAAGATAGCACAGGTGTATCTGCCTTTGCTCATCTTCCTGCATGCTCAGCTGGGTGCCAGCTTGGGGCTGCCAGGACTAAACTGTCTTCCAGAAGATGGATGGTATCTAGGAAGGAATATGTCTTTAGGAGACCCAGACCTCTACCTACCCTCCGAAAAAGAAAGGTCACTGATCTTTTAGCTCCCATCTCTATTAAAAGGGACCAATCTTTTAGGATTATCGTGAAAGTCAGAGAAAGTGATAGTTATAAAGTCTCTGGCACACAGTAAGACTTCAGATAAATGCTGCTTCCTTCTTCCCTCCAACAACTGGATATTTGCTTTAAAAACTTGGGTAGAGCTGGGGGGTGCATAGTATTCTGGACAGGAAACCAGAACTATCAAACCCTGAGAGTTACCCTTTTCTAAAGGGATAATCATCAAAGAACAATACCAAACAAATGGAAGGCAAAACAGTATTGTGTTATTAACTGGGGCTTCGATGCCAAGTCCCAAGGCAGGGCAAGAGAGTCACCGGGCTGTGTCATACCACATGAAAGGCTTCTCTTCTGAGGCCAGTGCAGTCTAAATAGCCTGTGGCCAAAGACAACCTTGACTCCAGCTCTCCTTCATCCCATATTGCCTCACCTGCAAACTACACAGGACAGTTAGGGGTGGGGAACAGTCTTAAAGAGAAGAGGCTGAAGCTCTGTGTTACCCAGTCAGAGAACCAGAAGAGAGAGGAGAGGAAAAGGCAGGCAGACAGACATAGAGCCACACTGCCCTGCCCTGGAAACTCCAGTCTTAGGAAATGGAACCTAATCTGTATTTCCTAATATCACCAAATCCTATAAACGGAGGAGCCTGGAAGGCTACAGTCCATGGGGTCACAAGAGTCAGAAACGACTGAGCAACTAGACCAGCAAGAAGGTCAGAAGGAACCTTATTAATACTTAGAAGACTCTAACTGGACAATCCTCCTGGCATGCAGATCCTTAAAGACTGCTCTGGTAATGATTCCAGGCTGGCTTTACAAAGTCACTGGGAAGGGAGGTGGTGAAAGTTCTGATTCTGGTCCGGTCCTGAAGACAGTGGTCAGTAGGTCCAGAGCAGACCCTAAGAATCTACGTTTTGCAGGTTGATGTATCACCAGGAGGGAAAGACTCTTGTGACTGTGGTTTTATTTTCATCTAGTGTTGAATCAATCTCCTGGTGACTGGTCTACTTCTCAGGCTGTTTTCATTTCCATCCCCTTTCTGGGTCTTGCCATCAACACTTTCCTTAGTGAATTCTGCTTCTTCCTCAGATCCAAAGCCCCAACCTCCTCTGAAGAAATCTTTCCCCTCCAATCCCTTTGACCTTCAAAGCCACTGCTGTGGTCAAAGTGGGTGTTAGTCAGGAATGTGTTTTTCCAACTGACTTTTTATCTCTGCCTATATGTCTTTGAGAAGGCCCTGCATCTTAGGCAACCTGTGTTCATCTGACAATAGGAATGTTGAAAAAGTCTGGGAAGAATTTATCATGGAAAAATCTGCTATCTTCAGAGCTCGAAACTAAGTTGTAGGATCAAAGAATGACAGGTCAAATATGTGAATTCACACACGCACACACAGAAAAAAATGCCACCAAAATGTGGAATGTTCCAGGCACACATACGACCCCCACAGGGGCCATAGAAAAGTCAATACATATATTGGCCCACTTGTCTCAGGACAGCTATGCACCCCTACCCCAAATGCATCTAGTTCCCTTCCTGGGGACAGGATAAAGCAACAGACAATCAACACGCAAAGGCCACCCATATAATTGGCCTTAATCCCCATACGTTACTCTCACCCAATCTTGATCCATCAGCCAATGCTGACCTTCCATTCTAAGTTCCATCTTATATCCACTCTATCCCTGACGACTTCCTCATTCTATTCCCCAACTTCTGAGCCACCCCTGATCACCTTTCAGAGTACAAGGCCAATTATGAAGTGAATCTGAGGGATGGCATGAGAATTTCTATACATTATTCAACTGATGTCATCTTCAAGGATAGATCTAGGTATAGAAACAAATCATAGGAAACACACACACACTACAGAAACTTCAAACCACAGAGAGGGACACCATTAGTTCCAGACAGGCTAAAGTCTCTTTGAAAAAGAAATTTGATTGGCCAACTTGTTTCTTGAGCTGATGTCTGATCCAATCAGCTGCAGCCAGGGAAGGTCACATGATATAAACATGGCTGCTAAGCATCATCCAGTGAATGAGAGGGACCTTCTCAGAAATAAAGATTGATGGGATGAGCAGTCACTCTACAAGATAACCATCACTGTACTTGGGCTGCTTTTGTTTCTAAAACACTTCCATAGCACTTTTTATGTGCCAAGTACTGGTCCAAGTGTTCCCTCCATTCCTATCAACCCTTCGAGACAGACTATGTTATCAGCCTATTCTAGCGATGAGGAACCTGGGGGACAAAAATACGAAGTCATTTTTCCAAGGTCATACACCTGGTCATTAGCACAGTTGGGATTTGAAGCCACACAGTGTGACTCAAGGATACATGCCTTTAAGCACTATGTTCTACTATCTCTCAAGTTTAACTAGAAAGAAACATGGTCTCCATCGTCTGACTCCTTAAAGCCTCCAGAGATCAAAATGCAGGAGTGCTTCACACAGCCTTAAAAAGTTGTGTGGTGAGCCCAGAGTAAATCACAAGCCTGCAAATGGCAAAAGAACCTGTCCGCCTCGCCCCAACCCATCCCATCTCTTCCCATTCTCCTGACTTCTAGCAACAGGTTTGGAGAACAAAAATGAAAGTGAGACCAAGAAAGACAGAATTCTCAGGCTTCATCTGCAAATCATCAGTAATGGTATCGTTCAGAAAACAAAGCACTGCAACAAATTAAAAAGGTAAAATAATGCCCAAGAGTCATAGAGCTTAACGCTTGACTTCTAACAGGTGATATGGTAGCCTGTCAGCACTATGTCCCACTTGCTGCTCTTCCAGAGCCCCAAGCACACACAGAGCATCTTAGGCCTGTTACCTTTGAGGCAAACCAGCCTTCTCCTTGGGAGACCTCATTCAATCCCATGGGTTCAGTTACTTACCAGATGTTGGTGACTCTCCAATCTAAGCATCCTAGATCTCCCTCCTTCCCTGAAGACCAGTGAGTCAACTTCCCACTGGCCATCTCCACTTGGCCATGACATGGCTTCTTCAAATACGGCATGCCCAAAACCAAATCCAACATTTCCTTGCCCAGATCCACTCCTTTTCAGTTGGTCCTGACTTCATGGGAAGTGGTATCACCATGTATCCAACAACACAAGTTTCAGAATCCTAGAAATAGCCCTTGACCCTTTCTTCACCCTCATTTATTCTACACACATCCATTCATCAAGTCTTACTTATCTGGCTTCCTAAATACCCCTGGAAACCTTCCACTCTTCTTTATCCTCTCCACCACTTCCCCTCTTCAGGTTGCCATTTTGCTTGCTTGGATAACCAACGTGGCCTTCTTGCAACAACAAATGCCTCCCTCCAATCTATTTCCCAAGTTGCATCCATCTAAAATTAAAAGTCTGGTCTTATTTCAGCTTTCCTTAAATCTCATCAAAATTTCTCCATTACTCTTGGAAAAGAAATCTCAAATCCCTTTAGAAAAAAAAAAAGAAATTTCAAATCCTTAACATGACTGATAAAGCCTATAAAGTGCCCATCTACCTTTCCAGACTTACCTTACACTACCCTTCCATTTACTACCCTTTCTTGTGAAACTGAGAACTGAATAAATATGCCCCTGGTATATTTTAGAGGTCTCTCTAAAATGACCTCAATGACCCCTCCTGTAGTATTCAAGCACATGTATAATCCCTCTCCCTTGAGTATAACCTGGACCCAGTGACTCACTTCTAATGAAAATAATATGATAAAAGTGAAAAGATGTCCCCTCCAAGATTAGGTTACAAAAATATTCTGACATTCATTATATTCTCTCTCTTCTCTTCCTCTCCCCACTCTTGCTCTGCTCCAAGCTATTGCAAGTAGCTCTACGGAGAGCATCAATTGGCAAGAAATAGATATATCCACCCAATAGTCATTGGGAACCTCAGGCAAAGCCATACCAGATTCCTAACCCAGAGACACTGACATAATAAATGTTTGTTGGTTTGAGCCATTATATTTTTAAGTAATTTGTTATGCAGCAGTGGATGACTAATGAAACTCTAGAGACTTTCTTATTTCTGAAAAACTGCACATGCTGTTCCCAGCTCCTGGGTTATTCCTCCTACTCCTCCTCATGCAGATCCATTTCACCTAACTCCAATATGGTCTCAAGTCTCAGGTGAGATGAGACCTCCTCCAGGAAGCCTTCCCTGACTTCCTTCACTATCACATTGATCATACCAGACAGAAAGCTCCATGAGGACGGGCACCATGGCTGTCACAATTCACTTTGGACCCTCTATATCCAAAAAAAGAACTGGCAATAGAATATGGGTT